AAACGCACCAGAAATAACATGTACACAGAAATTGAGAAAGCCAGACTGTGACTCAGAACATTTCCTTGTAAGTGCTAAATTTAGACAGAGAATATCTTTCAATAGAACACAGAAATCTGACAGCATCGTTAGATATGACATGGCAAAACTTAATCATGTGGCGATAGTAGGGAAATTCATGGAGGAAATAGACTTCCAAGAAAAGCAATCCCCAGGAGCAGAGGAAGGAGAATAAGATAGATGGTAGAAAATTAAAATGCGAATGATAACCTGAACGAAGAAGGTTTTAGGGGAAAATAGGAAGTAAAAACACTTGAATAGGAGAGGGAAGGGAAATGAGTTATTCAATCATGTTTATTGGGAAATAGATAAAGACACAGAGATTGGAAAATCTAAAGTTTTTGGAATGATAAAGGTTACTTCTTGGAAGGGGGTCAAGGAGATAAGGAAAAGGAATAGATTTAAGTAACGAGTTGATACAAAGAGATAAAAATCAGTTATTACAGGAAGATTACGAAAAATAAGGAATTCAAATTTTAAAAAACGGTTTAAAATTATTCTGATGTATAATATTCACTGCTAATTAAAAGGTAAATGTAAGGAAAGTAACAGACGTAGGATAGCAAGATATATGTTAGGTAATGAAATGATAGTAAGTAAATATTGGCTGAATACTGATGGGGTAAATGTAGGATCTATGAGATAGAAAAGGAAGATTGGAAACATATTTTAGAGAGATGTCTGGTTTTTGAAGAAGGAAGAATGTGAACAATGTGGAATGTTCAAAATAAGGTGAGATTGTTATTATAAGACAAAGCAGTCAGGATTAGTATGTTTGATAAATACAGGAAAGGGCTTAGTAAGTGGCATATTATTATATTCTTAGTTTGGAGTGTATTATTTGTATATATTATGTATCTTGTTATTTAACTGTTGTATTTACACAATTGAAGAATAAATTTATAAGATAAAACATGGTTTGATAAAGAATTCTTCGTCATTTCTTAGATTTTTTTGGATAAACTCATGGACAGAAGTTCTCGTCTTCAAGAAATAGTTTCTATTTCGCTACTGTGAAGACGTGTTTGGAATATTGACAACTGTGCTTGCTGCGAGCTTTCGACTTCACGACTGTTTATTGTATCAGAGAAGGGGAAGCAAGATCATCGTTCAAGGAAAGTTGCGCGATTCATACTCACACGACCAGTCTGAACGTCGGAGGCGGCTTGGAGGTCGTGTCGAACTCTCCGGAGAGGTCCACCATCGACTTGAAGTTTCCTTTCATACTTGTGAGCTCGTTCTCGATGGCCGCGAGCTCTTGGGCCAACTGCCCATTGCAACTCTTCAGTTCCTCCAGAACGCGCTTGACGTCCTCTGCCTTTTTGAAGTGGCGATGCGAGTCCATTTTTTCATTTATCTATTCCTCCCGCTCGAGAGCTGCGCTGCTATGTAATCTTCCTAAGTAGTATCTAGAATTTTCACTCCCACAGGCCTGGAAACGATTCTGATGGGGGATATCTTGCGAAGAGCATATAACTTTCCAAAATCTCAGAATGTTTATTTATTTTGAAGAATTATCCACGCAAGTGAAACTAGCTGCTGCAATTTAATATCATTAAAAATGTCAGTACAACCTGCTTAGTCAATATTTTTCTGTTACCACATTTCCTTGAAAAAACACCACCAAATTCCCCAACTGTTTTCTGACATGTAGAGAGTTTCTACATTAAAGTATTTTCATAAAAATATTATTTCTGAAAGATATTGTGTTCAACTTTGTCTCATAGCAGCGGACTAGGTAGCGTCAAGAATGCAAGCTAACATTGCGAACGCCTTTTGTTGTTTCCATAGAGGACCGGTTTAACATAGAGTCAGACATAGCACGCGCTACCAGCCTCCCAGTTTTCGAGGCTTCGAGTGCTTTTGTAACCTTTTGTGAAATTCAGTTGCCAAAAAGATTGAAAGTAAAAGTGCAGTTTTGGTAGTTTAAATGTTATTACTTTAACTCATCGCACGATGTATAACAGTGAAACGCGTGGCATGCTTTTAATTATGAATATTTTTAAAGCACTGTGCTGTGTCTCAAAGTTTATTTAATCTGATGAAAATGAAACATTGATTTTCAAAGAACCCTTTAAATAAAATAAGATTTATAACTTGAAAATAGAAACATGACTCCACTCACCCACTTGAGAATGGTTTTTCAATTCAGAAAAAATACATGAAAGTCGGTTGCGATAAAATTGCGAATTATTGTATGTAAAATTAGTTTTGAATTATTATGTGAAAATGTGCAGCGACGTCCTGTATAATCATCATCCCTTAATAAACGACAGTCTTGTATAATCATTTGAAATCTTCACAATTTGTTTACAAATTCAATAATGACAATGAAAGTTAATAGCTGATATAATATACTATGCATTTGCGCTCATTAAAGACTTATTAGACATATTTACTAATAATATAAAAAATGAACTCTCTGTAACACTATAATAGATTGTTTAACAGCTTGCTATATCGTGTAAACGTTTTATCCGAAACATACAACTTCAGGATACACTTCCTGTTACCTTGTAATGGCTTATATACTGATTATACCTTTCTGTTTGTTATATGTGAGTCATTATTTTAAAAATCATTATTATTATTAAAACATTGTTCAAAAATTAATTTTTATTGCAAACTATAATAATTAAGAAATCTGCATACAATGCTTGTGCGTTACATTAGAACGCATTGCCAGATGACATTAAACAATTGAAGTCTGTACACAAATTAAAGTTAAAAATAAAATATTTTCTGCTGCATAACTGTTCATATACAATTAGAGACTTCACTGATCATCAAAAAGAAAAAGAATGTTTATTTGAACAAAATTGATTTATAATAAATCAGTGTACATTTGTATTGTATATTTAAAAAATACTTAGTATACTTGTTACAAATAATGTACTACAACTTCCGGGTCAATGACCCCCAATGCAGCTTCACTATGCGCACGTGTTGTTGAATTCTCCTTTTCCTTCTAGCGGTAGGAGTAGAGCTGAGGGTGAGTTACTATTTAGTTAGCAATGCAGAAAAATCAAATCTGTAGTTTGTTTACCGTTGCACGTAAAGTTTCTATATCTCAGGAAAATGCCAATTTTTCAAATGTTGCTAATCGTGATTTTTTTAAAAAAACTATTTTTATTTATTTTGTTTGGCTTTTAAAAACTTTTATTCATCTTTCAACTATTTATAGTGAAAATGTTGGGAAGAATTCTGGAACTGAAGAAAACGTGCATAGATGATCTTATCCCCCAAACGTTATATACAGTTTTTACTGTTTTTTGACTAAATAAATAAGTACTCATTCAACTCCTGCTAATTGGATGGTAGTTTTCATTATTCTTTCTCTGGATTGCTCTTACCCTGTCTTTCACCAGACGTCTCAATTTTGACAGAGATATACTCATAAAAGTGTATACGCTGGTGAATCATTGTACAAATTATTAGTTGCATTTGAATAATAATGGCTGTATTTGTGAATTATATCAACATCGTAACTTCGAAGCTTGTAGACACACACAACGCGAACTTCATTCGTAATAGTCGCATGGCGCGATCTTGTGAGGAAAATTCCAGCTAACTTGCAACTGGCGGATCTAGCTGTTTCATTCTGTACTTCTAGAACTTCTGCATTTCTTCCGATACTCTAGCGGCTATCTAGCTTTTGGTGATGGGTTTATTGCTTCGCAATGGAAAATACAATCATTTCGAATAAAAAAAGTTCGTTGTGAATAAAGATTCAAAACAATCGTTTCGAATAAATTTGTCACTAAGACAAACTACTTATTCACTATGAAACATTTAGTGATTTTTTATAAGAACAATAGGCAAAATATTTTCAAATATAATTTTTTTTATTCGAAGGTTGTGATCTCAAGGACACAATAACTTAAGTATGTGCATGAATTCAGAGAACATCAAAACGTGAAGCAAATCATTATTCAGAAAACAACGAAAGGGAAGAAGATTCACACAAAGTTATCCCACAAGAATATTTTAGATTTAATGAAGTTCCTGCTTTAACCTCGGACTTTTAACTGTAACTTTGGAAACGTGTTTTTCATTAACAAAAATGGTACAAATTAGCCTTCAGCAGGTGTCAGTTGACAGCCGTATACCATTAGCAAAGATATCTTATGTAGCAAGTCTATTGATTTAACTTGTAGGAGATATATGAAGAAAATTCCTCCGATACTCCTGGGCTGCAATGGTATTCTTTTGCTGTTGATGGATCAAGAGCTGAAAATCAAAAAGGGTAATGGATAGCCAAGAACTGGACGATAATAGTGGTTGCTCAGTAGATGACCGTGGCTGGCGCTTACATATTTTAATTTCTTTATAGTTCTTTGTCACTTCTTTATAGGCCAAAAAATGGTTAGATTAGGTACAGACATTGTTGTAGTAGTTTTGTCTGTTTGGAAAAATAAAATGTTTGCATACATACTGCAGTAAAATAATTTATCATAATTTAATGTGATGATAATGGTAGTTCTATATTATTCAAAAGAAAACATGTCCGCAAGTGCTTTGAACAAAAGCAAATATTTTTCCAAGCAAAAATAAGCATGTCCAACATGTAACCTATATATCATCATAATTATAAATAACTAATTTGATAGCATTATAGGTAGACTATTGAAACAATACTGGTATGCAGTACAGAATATTACAATGTTTAAAAAGACGATAACTTGTAAACCAAACTTTTTTCAGTTTCTAAAAAATGTGATTTGATGGACATGTTATTTGCATAAACGTTCCTCATGGGATCAGAGGGTCATTGATTTCAACTTCCGCTTCCAATCTCTCACCCCTCTTTTGTTTAAGTAGTTTCGAAGATCACCACAGGAGTGCGCAATCATAAGCTCCAACATCTCGACCGGTTATGGTCGTTCTGCTGACAAGTACTGCTTTATCAGTTTCGACGAGGTTCTTTCTACGCCCTTACACAAGGGCCGTAGGGGTTTCGTCACACTGATAAGTGTATATTTTGTTTGTGTTTTGCAAATTGCTTTTAGCCTTTTGTCTTACCGTTTGTGTGCAGCTGAGTTGCTAATGAATGACTGAACAACGAATTTTACTGACCAGAAAATTCAATGCAAGTAAGTTGATTTTTTTGCTCGCTACAAATTATAATTACAGCTAGAATTAGAAATTCATTTTTCAAAGTTGTTCCAAATAAGTAACAGAACTTTAAATGTGGACGCATTAAAAAAATAAGTAGAATTGCCTTATTTTGGTTGTAATGCTATTAAGTAAACTGTTTATAAGGCGTAATTTATAAATAATCGCGAAAAAGTGGTTAATCCGGAATTTTCTTAAAGTTCTATATTTGCTAGTGTCTGAGAAAAGTACAACAGTTTCAAGAGTTAAAATTCTGTTGAAATAAATCTGACCGTATTGAGAGGACATTTGTGGGGTCTTTGAATGTATTCTTAGGTATCTTGTTCATCAACATTCTTAAAGGTTGTTAAGAACTGTTATTAAGAGTAGTTACAAATTATCTAATTTAAGCTACCATATTTGAAACAATTGGTGGAGTAATTTTGAAGGTATTCTGGTGACAGATTCTTGCGCGGAAACACAATAACACATTTACATTGGCATCCTTTAATGTATCGTAATGGCTCAGTTTCTTGCCAAGGAGTTCTGAGGAGAGTTTCACTTAGAAGCATTCACGAAAATGGTTGTTTCATATCGGGATGTATCCCCTATTTCAATTGATTAATCGTATACTTGTGTGTAGCTTTTGAGGAAAACTTGTTTGTTTCTCTCGAAAAAAAAATTGTCATTGATATGTACAAAGTCGTGCTATTTAATGAACATATATAATTTTTTCCAAAACGTGAACAATATAGGGGGACAGAACTCGAAATTTTATACTGTAATATTTTCCTTTGTTGACTTGTTTGAAATTTGTTCCTCTAATTTTGTTAACTGAATGGTAGCTTCTGTTAGTCATAAAAATATATCTTGCAGCCGAAAGCAGACTTCGAACTTGTAGTCGTAATTTGGCCCCAAATTTATATCGGTGATTTAAGAGAACATTCCCATTATCATCTAAATGCTTCAAAACACATCGGAAATCTTTCGCAAAATTCCTTGCACCGCAAATCGTCGGCCTCGTTCGGTCCCAAAGCCCTGCACTGATCAGCGTCGACCGTCGAGCGACCTTGAGTGACGTCCATTCACGGAGCGGCAGGCAGAGAGGTGAGTGGTCGATGGTCTCCCGTTGGCAGCGCCGGAGCTAGGTAATTTGGGGCTCGGGTCAATGCTGAAATCCGTAGCAAGCCCTCGAAAAATTAAAAATGTTAAATATTTTAGTTTTTCTTGAACCCTTGAGTTCCATAGGAATGGATGAGGTGTTCTTGAGTTTATGTCGTAGTAGAAAATGAAAAGAAAATGTAGAATCCTTTTTATCTCTACCAAGACCTAAACTCAAGAACTCCACATCCATTCCTATAAAAATGTGAAAGTTGAATAAAAAAACTGAGTTATTTTATTTCAACAAATAACAAAAATTACGTTTAAACTAGAACAAGTTTTGGGAAATATATTTTAAATTAAAATTTTAATTAAAAGCATTAAGTGATCAAATAATTCAATTTCCATGGTGAAGTGATAATTCTAAAATATGTTGCGTTTAGTCTTTAATAAAATTACTTGATAAATACATGAAGTAAATATCAATTTTAGTAGAACTTATTTCAGAATTAGCGGCATTTGATATATTTCATTGAGTCCTACGTCGCAAGTTATGACCACACACACACACACACACACACACACACACACACATTGAAGGTAAAAAATTAATTGAATTTTTTATGAAATATCAAACTACTGTACCGTGACTTAAGAAATTACGATAACGTTTTCTCGGGTTCTAATTTCTTTTTCAATTTTTTAATATTTTTCCCCCATCAGTCCCATCATTGGGTTCCTTGACTTGAGGCTGCAGGCGATCGCCCGGTCTGCCCATGCGTAGGGTCGGCATTGCTCTTAGGGAGATTGCAGAGAGAACAAATGACAAGATTTAAACCTCGCCACTGGTACTGACATTAGGAAGCGAGTGAAGCCCTCTGAGCAGCACCTTTCAAATTCTTTTAGTGTTTTGGGAGTTGTACGAATTCGTATGAAAGGTGAGATAATAACCTAAGAAGACACGAACTTAATTTCATTTCTCTCTAAAATTTGAAATATATCATATACATTTATGTTGAGAAATAACCATGTTTCAGAATAAAAGCATAGAACGTTGAACAAATAAAGAAAATAAAACGTGATCAAAGGAGGAAAGTGATGTTTGGTGTACACAATCCCTGTACAATATAGGTGCAATTTTGTTTCTTGAACGAACAACTGCAGGGTATGTTATTGCTACAATAATTTATCTCGTCTTAAAAATCTAAGAGATCAGTGATAAAAATCCTTAAAATCTCCAATATCGATTGCATGAAAATAACGAAAGAAATTGAAGATCCTTTCACAACACGTTTAGCTGGGTACAAATATTTAAAAAAATGGGTGTGATCATAAGAAACAAAACTTTGCTGAAGTGAGTAAATATAATATAAAACATTTTATGTATAATATAATAAACATGATGTATAGAAATAAAACATATTCAAGTGTTCCTTTACGCCTGTAAAAACTCGTAGTATGTGAACTAACGCATCAAATTAAATCCAGAATTCCCAAATGAGTATTTCCGAAATTCCCTCGCAATCACTTCTTGAAAAAATTCGCAAAACTTTTTATTCGCAGACTTCGCTTACAATTAGTTCCGCTTTTTGTAGACTTCGCAGCCGATTGACCTATCAATAGGGAAACTTTCGCAAGTGTACCTTCATCTAAGCTTACAATATTTTTTAAACGTTAACAATTGCAAAGAAAGCTTTTCTTCTCCATAAATATTGTGATATTTATCTTATTTCAACGAATGCCATTGGGGAAACTGGAATTTTAGCAAAATGTCCTTCCTATTTTACTATTGCTTAGAAAACTTTTAACAATAAGAATCACTTTATCGTACTTCTTATATTTTAAATATTTATTTTGCTTCTTTTTCATTTATTTTAAATTACCATGCCAATTTTTAGTATTTGGCCTTTTCCCCCCTTTCCCCCCGTTTTTGTCATTTGTTCCCTTTTTCTACAGACACCGAACTCGATCAAGGTGAAAACTTATCAGAAAGCTATGAGGAAACACATAACCAGTAGGTACGGTCGTATTTTGTCTTTCCATGCAAGCGGAGGTTCCAGGGCCAGAAGGTGTTAAATATTTTACTAACGAATTAAGTGGATACCGATCAAGAATTTTTTTATTTTGTTTTTTCCAACATTCTTTGTTCGCTCACGAAGAATCTCATCCAATTTTGGAATTCGACCTCCTAATCCTTTTGAGGATAGAAGTACATAATATAAGGTGCTGTCCTCAGAGCAGTCGAATGCCCAAGGGCATAGAAGGAAAACAACACGTACACGCGTTTTCACTCGTGCGTTTCCAGGATTCAAAAGAAGAGTCCAAAATTACATTTCGTAGAGACAATGTTGCAGGTAAAACAAATTACGTCAAATCGAAATTTAGTGTGCCAGAGCGAATAATTGCCTGTAATGAAACCGATAAATAATATTTCTGGTAGACGTAATGTGTAAACAACTGGTGGTCATATGCAATCAAAAAAAAGATCGTTTACTTCTACATAAGTACTGATGTAAATTTTAGTTTGAATCATTTTAATTATTAATTATGATAATAAATCCTTTTCATTACTTGTATTTTTGTGCCCCTACTTTATACAGTATACATTACTTCTAGATTTCTAATTTTAAAAGAAACAAATGCCTTTTTTGCTTTCCTATTTTAGGAAAAATAAATGCCTGATCGTGCTCTAGTCATGAACTTCCGGGCTCTAGTCATTGTAAAACTGTCTCTGCGAGTAGATAATATTCTTCTTATTATTTCCTACTGCGTGTTCCACATAGTCCAGCAACCATTGTAAGTCTTGCCAAAATAAGAATGAGTTGTAGCTGTTCACGGCGATTGATTATTTCTCAGTTCAAGACGCGTCAAATGCTAAGGTCATTAGCTCTGTAGTGTATATTTTATCACGGGTGGAGGCGGTATTCTTCTCCTTCAGGATGGTGAAACAGGTGCCGACCTACACTTCAGCTTGAGGAGTTCCCTAAATCAGATATCTCCCACCAGCGGCCACCGCCCCAGCCGGGACAAGCTCCAAGCTCCCTCTAAACCGGTCTCCCGGCATGTGTTATAATGTAGTGCTTGTTAGTGTGGGTGTAAGTAAGGGATCAGGATAGGACAAGGAATATGAAGGAAAGATCGCATGTGGTTCGTGGCCCATTTCTTGGGGTTCTGCTCCCGCATTCGCAGCGTGTGAAACTAGCGATGAGAGCAGCTTGCCGCTAGAATTCTCCTCCAGACAGCGACTGAACTCGACAGTCTATCTAGCTAATATCGAAAATCTCTGGCACCGTTGGGACTCGAACCCTAATCTGATCCGGAACTGCCGTGACTTATGTCGATACTCGGAACCACCTCCGTGGGCATTCGGTTCAAGATGTATTTGGTGGTCGGCCTAGATTTATGACTGTGACATTAAAGACGTTATAAAATAAACATGTTTTCGGAGCCGAGGATTTCAACAATGGATTGCAATGGCTTCAATTTATCCTCAGTTTAAAAATTATATAGAGGAATAAGGGAAGATATTGGTGACAATGACATGTAGTTGTTAGTAGAAGAAATAGCTGATAGTTGTGGTCACTTCATTGCAAATGTTATTATGGTAAAGTTGGATTCAAATGTGCCTTTAAGCGCTCATCTCATATTCAAAATGTCGAAAAAAGCCAACCGCAGTACAATGGCGCGAACAGTTTGAGATGTGGTGTGATTATTATGGCCCGGGGGATACAAAATGTTTCTGGCTTTTCGTACAGACGGTGCTTCTTTCATGTTGAAGGCGGCGCATATCACTGTATCCCCAAGATTCACGTTACTTGTTTTGTGCACGTTGTGCGTTGTGAGGCTGAGATTTTCATGAGGTGAAAACATTTATTTCCTCTGTATAAATATTTTTCTTAAAGCTTCTATTAGAGGTAAAAAATTGCGAGAAACGTTGCCAGATGTTTACGTTCACCGGAACCAGTACATCACATGAACACATCGACATGGCACATGGAGATCTCTCATGGATACGACGCATGGACATGGCTCATGGAACATTGTGTTCTAATTATATGTGACAATATCTGAGGTGCCCTAGCTTTCCTTAAGACTCACTTCATCCATTTCCCAAAATTAATATTGTTTGGTATCTTCAACCATTATGCTAGAAAAGGCCATTGAAATCATCGACTCTCTTTTTTTAAGAAGAGAGCACCAGGGCCTCTAGAAAAAGTTGTAATGTCGAAAATATATCTCATTCTTGAAACAAACAACAGGATATTCGAAAATAAAAAGTGTGTGCTCACTTCTAAATAGAAAAACTGTCAATCGCAATTTATCTTAAGGACCTGCACAAATTGCAGTAATTGAAATTGCGCCCAGGACGTCTTGTGAGGTGGTTCGTACATTTTTTCTATACAAACGCATTCTTCGCGATATGAGAAGTATTTTGTAATAGATAACTTAGTAAAATATTTGGTAAGTCAACTTATGTCCCAGTAATTTTCGTCTTGTAGTATGATCCAGATACTTTTGTGCATTTGTATATTGTTTTGTTAATGGCATATAATGTTTTATTTAGTAATCGAATATGTGGAACAATTTACTCTTAAATAGTCATACTTGTTTAGTTCATCCATCCAGTCCATCACGCATTGGTAATATATACACAAAATTTCAATATTGATTGACTGTGAGCATAAAAATTGTGGAAGTACCTGCCCTTCTACCATTTCATTCATTAAAATCTATAAAGACCTGTTTCGCCTATTCCGAAAGTCTAAAATGGATTTTTAAAAACCTAAAAATCCGGGACCATATCATAGCATGTATTACAATATTTTTCTTCAATATTTTAGGAAATAATAGACAGTAATTACGTTTTAATTCTAAAATAATAACTCACACTCGCTTTTGAATCATTTTTACTATCCCTTTATTGTGGTCCTGCGATAATAGTCCTTGTTCATTAAATAGTTGTGTTCATATCATCATACCATTCTGACTTTCTTTTGACCCACATTACACATAACATGAACGGAAACACATACAAGTACCAAAGAACAAAAAAGTGTGTTCCACGTAGTTCTCTTAATAGATTTTTACAGCTTTCTTCAGAGTCGTGCTTTGAAGTTGGACGGGACTCATTTGCTAGGAAGATATTTCCAAGTCGAAGGTCCATTTTATGTCTCTTTCTTTTGGTTGCCCAGGAATTTCTGAAAACAGAGAAAATGAGTTTTAAATTTTTGTTCTTTCTAACTAATTTATTAATACAATTATTTGCACATTTATTTGAAATTAATAAATAAAATGAGAAATAAAAAGTGCGATAAAAATTAATTTTATTTATGTTAAATGAGCGATTGATCACTCTGAAAATATCTGATCTCGTTCCTATGATCTTGAATTTGATTTTTAATTTTTTGCTCCAATCAAATTTTGGTGGTCAGAATTCTGCAAAAGAATATTTGAGTTTTTTTCATGCTTTCTGTGCCAGGATCAGACACTAATTGACTGTTAAGAACGATTGTTAATTTCATGTTTCGGAGCGCGTCAACTGTTATGATCATTAGTTCCGTATGTGGAGTGCGTGTTATATCACAATAGGTGGCAATCCACCTTCCCCGCTAGAACGGGAAACACCTGGAACACACCCTTGGGTCATAGCCACCAGTGGTTGTTCTTTTTCGTACGATTGTTTGCAGCCGACAGTCGATTACCCTTTAACGTCCAGATAGGATGCACATTCAATCCTACAGTAGCCACCAACACACCTGCGGGCTCCTCTGATCTGGGGTCAAGAAAACGCGAGGCCCTCCGCGACAACACGTACATGAGAGGCAAGGGACAAACAATCGTTCCCAAGGCGGGACTGGAACCCACGACCCTTCGGACCGAAGGGCTGAGTCGGTACACGCTCAGCCACCTCGGCCATCCCGTCTTAATATCCCTTTCCCCCAATGCGCATTATGTACCCTTTTCAAAAAACTTCTTTGCGAAGCACAGGAGGTCTGTGTGTAGGACCGACGCAAAAATGTCTTTCTGAGGAGCCGGTAATCCGAATTTAATGAACTTTTTCCAATTACTGTTGACAATTACGTTTTATTCTGAATACAAAGATGTTCTGAATACATCTTTGTTTGCTAATTTTGAAAAGCTGTATTCGTATGCATTGTATATTCGGCAATGGCTTGCTAGCCAACAGTTGGCTGTCTTTTGGACAGTTTTAAAGTGTTGGACCCGAGGAGCGTTCAAGGATTAGCAAGATACCCAGGGGGACCCTGCGCTGTTGACGACAGAAAACAGGGTCGCTGGAAACAAAGAATGCAATCATCTGATAAGACTGGACTAGAAAAAAATAAGATTTTTTTCGTGCTGATTGAAGCCATGATCATAATAAAAGATTTGAAATAACTTTTTGAGGTAAGCCTTCTACTGTATCGGAACGTTTGAATTTTTTAAAAGACCACTTGGCTGTGAGGAAAGTAGTGGGCGGCAGAGGCTGACCTGAGTCAGAGGCACTTGTGCAGCGTGAGGTCGCGCACGCACACCTTGCAGCGCACGTAGCAGCACCAGTAGTACTTGCAGAGGCAGCGCTCCTCGCGCTGCACGCGCTCGGCGCGGAAGCCGCGCCCGCAGCACAGCTCCTCGCAGCTGTCGTAGCCGCGCGACGTGGCGTTGCACTGCCTGCACGCGCATACATGGCGCGGGTGAATGTTGCGGTGCAATGGACTAGACAGGGTTAGTAAGCGATCGCATTGGAAATACAATTATTATGCGTGTGGTAGATTTCACGAATGGTCATTTGTGCACCAAGGGCGTTGGAAGGGTTCTAATGATCGAGCGGCGACAAGAAGCCTTCGGGTCATAGGCCTTCGGGTCAAAGGCCTTCGGGTCAAAGGCCTTCGGGTCAAAGGCCTTCGGGTCAAAGGCCTTGGGGTCGAAGGCCTTGGGGTCGAAGGCCTTCGGGTCGAAGGCCTTCGGGTCGAAGGCCTTCGGGTCGAAGGCCTTCGGGTCGAAGGCTTTCGGGTCGAAGGCTTTCGGGTCGAAGGCCTTCGGGTCGAAGGCTTTCGGGTCGAAGGCCTTCGGGTCAAAGGCCCTCGGCAATATGGGAGCCGCTTGATCATTAGAACCAGTAAACGCCCTTGGTGCATTCATAACTTAATTTTTTACCTAATTTTATTGATTCGTATTTACTAATTAACAAGAACTTGACTCTGTCTTTTCATATTTACCTCCTATTATTCCCTCTCATAATTTGTTTTTTAATAAGAGAACATGTCGCATCATTCAAGTGGTTTCGTATTTCCCTCGTAACCATGATCCTTTCGATTCTGGTGTGTTAAGCGGTGTATGAGTATATTGAGCTACATATCGAAGGCAATAACAAACTATAACGTATCGGTAAAAGTAAACATGATTTAGTTTCGTTTAGTAAATCAGGCAATTAAAATTCGTAAGTGAATGAAAAACAACTGTTAGTGGTTCTATATTTGTTTCTTAGATAAAATCATTCGGTGAGATCTACGTTTCATGTCGTCACAGCTTAGTAAGTGCGCCTTCTCAGCAATCTGAAGAATTCGAATGATTTAAGAGCCCATGTGAACGGTGAGAAATCAACGCTATATGTTGTATTATACGCTACATAAATGGCGTGTTTAGTATTTTATTAATTTTAAATAATTAGTTTGTTATATTGTAAACTAATGGTAGAAATACAGTCGTTAGCCAAAGGTCGGCAGCCTGCTTTCGTAACTGTTCTGTTCGGCTAGGGTCTGTCAGGTAATCGAGGTTGAAGGAAGTAAGAGTTCACGGGTGCCGTAGGATGGGTGACTTTTCCAGAACCTCAGTTGCTACCTGCCTGATGGGATGGAAAGAAAGTATTCCCTTTAACGTTTCTGCTTAATAAGGCTTTCTCAGAAGCATTAAATAACTTATGGAAAACAACTATCCGTTAAAGTTATTCTGTGTTTAATAAATATCACTCGATGTATTAGTTACCGCAACGATTCGTTTAGGTACATCTACTAGATGTCATTCGTCATGAAGATGGTCTGTTTAGTGAATATTACTATACGTACGTTGTGTGTAGAACAAAAGAGCAGTTTCGTAAACGTGACTAATCCCTTTGTTTTTCCAAAATAGACTATGCCGTATAGTGCAATCTACAACGAATTAATTGTATGAACTAATCATTTCCCTCCGTGAAGTCTTACGCTTCCGCCGCGGCCAGTCTTGCTCTTGGTTGTCCGGGCGACGCCGCGTCGAAGGATGCGATGTCATCTGCTGGTCCCCCGGCAGCTAAGAGCGCTTGCACACGCACACATCGCACCAAGCGCCGCGGGCACGCGGCCAGTTCGCTACTACTCCTACCTTCACTGGCTTGACAAAGTTATGTTCGGTTCTGGATCGCGCGCACATACGTTCGGGGTAAGGGCGACGAACCCGTTTCCAATTTCATTCGCGGCGGTTTTCTAGCCACAAGAGCTACTGTTTACGTGGACGGTTAAAACGGGTTCAGATATCGAACCCCCTTGACAATGAATCCTCCGTTTCCGGAACAACTAAACGTCCAATCTCAGGCAAGTGATTTGTTACTGTGAGGGTGGATTAAAAAGTAAGTTTGCAAGAGCAGTTGTAAACATACCCTACGCAGATCCACTAAATGTATTAGGGAAGCATTAGTTCTTTATTTCTGAACATAATTCTTCTGATTGTCTAAACGTTCATCCCAGCGCGTTTTATCGTTAAATTTTTAACCCACGTCACTAAAACATATCCACTAAGCACGACACAAAAATGACGGACGAGTATCCTTGATATTCTAAAGCCTTAAGGCGTCCCCACACATCGAGCATTTTGAGAGTAGCGAGTGACTACTCACCCAATCTCGAGTAGCCGAGATACTCCAAGTATGCAGGCTTCCTTTGATGTGCCCAAATGACCGACACGCTGCGGCTGTGGTCTGGCAGCCACCGAATGTTTGGCGCTCGGACAACAGCGAGTACTCTTGCCACTACTTGGATTTCGGCGAGCGGTCTCTCGCTTCTCGCCAAATGCCGGGAGTATTGTATGAAGCAGTGTGGTTTTGATTGATTGATTAGTGATTCTGGGTGCGTCAACTGATAAGGTCATTAGTGCGTAAATGTAGTGCATATTTTTGTTCGGGAGGTGGTCTTCCCCTGCTGTGTGGAGAGATCCGGCACCGACCGACCGTCAGCTATCAAACTTTTCCATAACGAGGTATCTCCTATCAGTGGGGCACCGCCCCAGCCGGGACAAGCTCTCAGTCCCTAACCGGTCTCCCGGCATGTGTGGTAGTGTAGTGCATGTTAGTGTAAGTGTGTGTAAGGATTGAGGATAGGACAAGGAAGAGGAAGGAACGATCACGCGCGGTCCGTGGCCCGTTTGTTATGATACTGCTCCAGACTTCGCCAGGTGTTGATCAGAAAAAAACACGGAAAACTACCGAACAGAGCAGCTGGCCGCTAGAAATTTCCTCAGGGCAGCGACTGAATGGATCTAATTGACAAGCTAGTGTCGAAATTCCTGCCACCGCCGAGACTCGAACCTAGAACCTCCCCCCACAAGCAATGCAGTGACATCAGTTGATACCGTGGGCCATTTCTTCCAGTGGGTGTGTTGTATAGAGCAGTGTGTGGTTTTGATAGATTAGCGATTCCTGGCGCGTCAACGGCAACTCAAGTCATTAGTCCCTTAAGTGTAGTGCATCTTTTTTTAACGCGGAAGGTTGAGAATGGATGTGGAGATCCGGGGCCGACCTGTAGAGTTTTTCCCACCCTGAGGTCGCGGGAGAAGTCAGGGGGAGGCAGAGGGCGGGAGAGGCGCGTTGCGCGCACTGACCGTCCGTGCGTGCCGAGCGAGCCGGCGCGGCGGTCGGGCTCGCAGTAGTCGGGGCTGGCGGCGACGAAGGCGAGCTCCCGCTGGCCGCGCGGCGGCGCCAGCAGCAGGCGGCCCGTGGCGCCCACGCGCCGCCCGCGCACCGCGCCCGCCGCCGCCTCGAAGGCCCTGAGCAGGCGCGCGCCCGCGCCGGCCGCCAGCGACGCCGGCAGAGCGCGCCAGCACGTCTGCACCGAGCACGCCCCCGACACGCCGTGGCACTTGCACACGCGCTCCAGGCTCGCCTCCACCGCCTGCAGCAGACAGCCCATTGAAGAGGCAGGGGGGAAACATATGCGCATTGTTTTAGTAGAGAGACATCCTTGGTGTAACAGAATATTGCACACGCCTTAGAGCACACATGTTGCCTCTGTCATCAATGGACATCGCTAAAATCCTTACATTGCCCACACGATCTTATAGAAAACATGACCAAATTCTCATATCAATTTTAGTGGGAAGGATCACTCGCAAAGAAATTCACTTTATGAGTTCTCTTAGAGATATATCCCTAAAAACATTGCAAATAGTATCTCGTACAAAGAAATTCTTAAAGAAGCAAGCTCTGCACCCTTTTTCGTAGAGTGGCATTCGTAAGGAACCACTTAGTGATCTCTCTCCAGAAGAATCTCATTTGAAGTAACAAATAGCCTAAGAGTAAATAACGAACACTTTTCACTGATTGTAAGTGTCAGTTTAAAGATTTATTAATGTGGACTGATCTATAAATCAGACTTCTCTTTATTCATGAAATGACATTCATTTATTCATGACACAAATATAATAGAATCTTAAATAATCTTATTTAACCAAAACGATAAAGATAACGCCCAAAACCAGCCATCAAACAAGAAACGATTAGCTCTTGGTCTTGGTTATGGTCGACGCATAGTAGATTATCATCGTGTAATAATATTTCAACCATCGGCCCCTACGATTAACAACTGAAGATGAAACACCGTACATGCTACTCAATATCTGACATATATTGTAATGATAATTATCGTCTTTTAATCGTAATTAAAATTGCAACAAACTGAGGGCATGGAAGTTTTCCCTGCGAACCCCCCGCTCCCGATTTGTTAGCCGCCCAAATCGCGCATCAGCCGATCGCCAGAAGGGCGGTGCACGCCGGCCCGCGCTGTCATTTGACTGGTCGCGAAGCGTCTGCGGGCGGTCGCTCTTGCGGGCTCGCCCGCGCGTGCCCGCGTGCGGCCATTTGCATAATGGCGCGCGTGACGGGCAGGGCTCGGCGGCCGTTGAAGAGCCCTTTCAGATGTCACAATTAGTCAGGGTAATTGAGCCCCGCGCCTGCCGCCCCCCTCCCCCCAGCGACCAGGGAGCGGCCCGGCGGCCACGCCCCCGGAACGCGGAACAAAAGGAATCGACGCGAGCGCCCCAGCTGGGAGGCGACGGGGGTTCCTTTACGCTCGTAAGCGCTAGTACTAAGTGAAAGACACGTCAAATAAAGTCGATAATATTGGTACCATTATGTTCATATTCCTCATAATTTACGATCTTTTAATCGCATCTTGAAAATTGGGCAACACTTTTTAGTCACAGTGCTGGACTGAACGTGGTTCACGATTTGTTTCAGCTTGTCGCAACACTTTGCAGCCGAATGGTCAGTCGCATGAGAAAACCTTCTCAAAATGTGTTTGTTAAAGGTGTTGCTCGTGAATTATTTTCAGGTCAGCAGAGGTGGCACCGGACATAAATTGATGTCACTGCAGTACTTCTAACCGCAAGTTCCGACGGTGGAACCATTTTCGACACTAGGTTGATACGTAGCTAGGTCGAGTTCAGTCGCTGTGTGGAGGAGCATTCTAGAGGCCGGCTGCAATGATCGGCAGTTTCTCGTGGTTTCTCTGATTAACATCACGCGGTTGGCAGAGCTGTATCCTAACAAACGGGTCACGCGATCTTCCCTTCTCATTCCTTTTCATACTCTCTCCCCTTACGCACACGTTTCGTGTACTAAAATACACTGCACCTCCACACTTTCCGGGAGACCGGTCGCGATCTTAGGGCTTGTCCCGGCTGGGGCGGTGCCCCGCTGTTGTTAAAATACAGATAGCCGACGTTTGGTCGGCGCCGGATCTCGCCATCCAGCGGGATGATCATACCCCGCTATGCATAAGCACCCGATCAGGCATTAGCACGGCCTCCCGACAAAAAACATGCACCACACTTACTGGACTAATGTAATCACCACTAATCAATCAAACCCGCAATCTTGCAATCGAATTTTAAAAATTGCACAATACTTTTCAGACACCATATTAAACTGAATTTAGTGTGCAGTTTGTTGCAGCACTTCGCGGCCAAATGGTCAGTCAAATGAAAAACATTCTCAAAATGCATGTGTTGAAGGTGTTTCTAATTATTTATTGTTAGAGCGAGTTGGGGAACAGTATACTGTAGCAACGCCGCGCTGCTTTACTGTAAATGAATATTGTGATATTGATCTTATTTTCGGCGAATGTTTGTAACACTGCCGTTGCGGGTCGGAAAATACTCTACGCTCTCTCTCACGTTCTGCGACAAGTCCTGCAGCCATTTTAAACTGATAAAATAAGAATTACTACAATATACCTATTAACGACGATTTTGTTGGCCCGCATTGGCGTAAGTGTGGGCCACATTTTGCTAAATTTTAGTACATTACATTACTCAGATTAATGTCATATTTTATTAAAAACATTTTCCAATTATTTAAATCATCCAAAGTGTGCCTACTGAAGATATAAAATGTTTTGGAATTAAGTGGATAAATTAATAGATTTGACAGTTTAAGACCAGTGCATTTTTAATTCTAGAATACAAAATTTTCAAATTTTAACTCTTAATATTATATTCTGTAAAACCTGTGTGTGGTTTTTACAATTTTTATTAGTTTTTTGACAGACATCAACATATTACACGTTTTTACGTACGTTTGGTGCTAACATAGTCACACGCGTGCCGTGACAAAGTGAGGGATAGGCATTGTGTTATTTCATAGTATTTTTGTCTTATCTTAGAAATTTTTGTTTTATTAGATCCAATACAGTTCTGTTACTATAATTTACTGAAGTGATTATAGAAAATATAATGTAATGAATCAAGATGTCTGATCGTTGCATTTGTTAATATTCTTTAATAGTACTTCACAACAATTGAAAGGCATTCCTTAATTTCTCTGAAGCTATTTCTACAGTTCAAAATTAGTTTCACTAGATGGAAATCTAGAACCATGTCTTCGAAATAAGATCAGATTCAAGTGTCTGTCTTCCAATTTCTTTATCTTTTATAAAAAAACTACTCTCCCATGGTTATAACGTAAACTTAAATATATGAAATTTGTTTTTTAGTAGTCACGTTTTGAAGTCAATTATGTCTCGGATGGAAGAGTTAAGTGGATGTTTTAAATATCATTTCCGTTGGCTAAATGGCATTGTATTTTTATCAAAGTGAAAAAAATACAAAATCCATAATCCATGTTTTAGACTCAGAAATATAATTGACAGGTGTAAATGAGGCTCAATTGCGACGGACGCTAAGAGAGTAGCTCGCGGACAAGAATAAGCGCGCGAAACCTAAAGCTCCCTCGTAACTAAACGCACAAGTAACATGAACGCAACGACTTTTTGGATTGAACCAATCAGAACGACTCAGGAGAATGTGACCATAAAGTTTGTACGTAAGCATAAAGGCTCACGAGCTCAAAGCCCTAAAAAAAGGATATTATGCAAGTTGTTTGATTGAAGAAATGAAAGATTTCATAATAAATTAGGACCTTTTAAGTAAGAAGGGACATTTGCTTAAAGACGTGAAGAGGCAATGTAGCTCACCTTGCGGCCCGCGCGGTTGTTGTGCTGGTTGGCGGCGGTCATGAGCTGCGCCAGGCGCCGCCTCCGCCGCTCCGCCTCGGGCGAAGCGCCGGCGCCGCCCCGCCCCCTGCCGCCCCTGCGGCGCCGCCCGGCGCGCGGCCGCCGGCGTCCGGTCTCCAAAGAGCGCGTGTGGCGCTGGGCGGCGGGCGGCGGCGCTCGGCGGTCGTCAAGTATGAAGGCGCGAGGGCGAAGCGCGCGCCCAGCGCTACCACGTTTGTCCGCTGCAGGACCGACCCACTTGAAGAGGCCGTCGGGCGCGCCCTGTCCGACACTCGGCGACACTCGCAGCCGGCGCAGCGCCCTGCGGCGCAACGGCCCGCGCGCCGCGCGCACCACGGCCGCCGACGCCAGCGCGTACACCAGCGCCTGCTCGCGCCGTCCTGCGCACACATAATAAAGGCAACTCGTCAGCGCCAGCGCCCGCACCACGGCCGCTTACGCCAGGCAGGGCTTACTTCTCAGGATGAGAATACCTGAAATACAGCGAGGGGTTGATTATGTTCTAATAACATGTACCCCTTAACCTATGGCTGTAAGACCGGGTCGTTGCTGGAAGGCCTTAGCTCGTAAAGAGCTGTTGTGGCATATACACATACATACATCTTTTCCCCCCAAGATACACGTTATCGGTAATAGTGCAAATAAATGTCTTAATCGTGAACGCGGTGCTGGTTAAGCGACCTCGAGACGTTGTCTCTTGGGCCGCCCTGCGGAGGCGGCGTGGCATAGCCTGCGAGGAGAGCGCGAAGGTTCCCGATTAGTCGATCACGTCATCGTCTGCATTCGCCGGCCTCCTCTCGCGGAGTGGATCTCGAGGGCGTCAGCGCGACGGCGCGACGCGCACCCATTCATTGGCGATGCCGCGGGCGGGCGCGGGGCGGGCGCGGGGCGGAAGGGTGGGCGAG